ATTTTTATATTTATTAAAAAAAAGTTTAAAATGAAATAATATTTTTAATTTATATTAAATATAATAATTATTTTTTATATAATATATAATAATGATTTAATTAGCATTAAAACTTTAATTAAAATTTTGTAATTTTATTGATTTTGATATTAATTTTTTTTAAAAAAATAATATAAAAAATAAATAAAAAAAATAAAATAAATAAAAAAAAAAAAAAAATAATAGATTAAACAAAACTTCAACTCCTTCAATTTTATAACACGATATAAACAAAAATTTTTATTAATCTTAATAATTTAATAAAAATTGCATGCATAATGAGTTTGTATTAAATTGTCCATGTTGTAATGAAAATATAGTTGGTGATATCAATTATGATGAAAATAATTATATTGAAAAAACTTAAATTAAAAAAACTATAAAAGAAAAAATTATACCATAAGTTGTATCTAACAGAATTTTTGTACCAGATTGTAATACTAAATATTGTAATACTCCTGGATGTACTGTATGTTAGGGAATGTATAGATTAAAAGAAGAAACTGAAGAATAAATTACTATTCATAGGGAAGTTTCTCATGAATGCGATTTTTTATGCAAATTTTGCGATTATAATGCAGCTGATTAAAGACTAATATTCCTACTTTAATAACACCATTAAAAAATGGTAAAATTAATAATTTTTATATAAATGTTTATCTATATGTTGGGAAAAAATTAAATTTATATTATAATATTAAAGAAATTAATATAACGTTTAAAATTATAAATATATAAAATATATTTATATTATTTATATATATTTTTAAATTATAAAGGCTTTATTAAAATAGTAAAGATAAAATATAGGATACTAAAACGAATATAATTAAAATTTTTAATCAAACAATAAGTCATATTATTGATTAAAAATAAAATATTTTAAAAATATATTATTTACGAAATAATCTATGTTTTTTTTTTATTTTTTAATATAATTCTTTTAATTATTTATATTTTTTTCTTTTTTTATTTTTGTTAATTAATAATTTTCATATAGAAATGATACATCAAAATAAATAAATATAGTTTTTTATAATATATTTATATTATTAAATAATAAAATATTTTTTTTATTATTAATATTATAAAAAAAAATTTAATTTATTTAAATTAATTATTATTTAAGAAAAAATATTTAGTTTGTTATTAATTTTATATAATATGAAATTTTAAATATGATTTTAAAATATTTCTTAAAAAAAAAGAAATTAAGAAAAATTAATTATAAACAATTTTTATTAAATTTACTTATATTTTTTTTCCATTAAAAAATCGAATATTCTATAAAATAATTAAATTATTATTCTTTTTAATATATGTATATCTATTGCATTT